AAGCAGTGGTATCAACGCAGAGTACTGGTTTTCGCGCACGCTGATTCCACTACACAACTTTTTACGGGTGTTTTCAGCTTTTTTGACGGTGTAATCACATTTCTGAAAAATGTTGGAAAATCAATTATTACGGTTCACCTGGGGTAACTTAGGAAAGAGGCACCACAGTAAAGTGGAAATTTCATATTCGAAAAGAGCGGCTTCCATTCATAGTGTAAGAATTTCCGGCTTGTTTGGTTATGTTCCGAGGGAGATTATGGCCTCCAAAGACCTAAAATCCTTGTCGAAGTTCCTACCGTAATCCTACAGTAATAAAAAGAGCTCGGTGATTCGCTCTATACTGCAAATCTAAGTTGAACCTCGCTCTACAAAATGGTGCCTAACGCTTCTCGAAAGACTTCGTTAGAAGATTCACAATCAAACAGTAGGCACATTTTTTACAGACACCCTGTATATATATAAGGCAGCTACTGTTCACATAGTGATAGAAAATGCAGAAGATCATTCGTCATTGACAGGCATTCATTCTTGTTATTCACGCTTGGGCTCTTTAAAGAGATCCACAAAGCTTCCAGTATCTTTTGTGTAGAAACTTCTGTCTCGTACGCCAAGATAAAATATTTGACCTCAAACTCAGTTCCGCCATGTGCTTCAAATCTATACTTTCCCAACGGTGATACCAATTGACGAAGTTTGGGTTTCTATAGCTAAAGCTGCAGGCCTTGATGAAAGATTAGTTAGCAGATTAAAAATGGACAATCCGATCTGTCCAGTATTTTATCATCTGTTAAGACTCATGAAATTGCAGCGCACGAAAATCACTCTATGTCACCAGCAACCTATAAGGTACGCCCTATAACAAGCTGTGTTAGCGGTCCCACCGACAGAATATTATAGTTTCTCAATAAGATCGTAAGCCAGTATTACCAAAGGTGCCATCGCATCTATCCAATACTCGGCAGTTCATGCAGCAGTTGCGGGATACGAACATCGAACATGATAGTGTCATCGAGTCTTTCGATGTAACATCCTTGTACACAGATGCTCAGAACGATGCCGCACTGCAAGCATTGTCAGAGATGTTGGAGCTTCACTACAACGACATGGTCACCTTTGGACTGAGCAAAGCAAGATACTGACCCTTATCAAGGAGTGTTTGGAGTGCAACATCTTTAGATGGTTTGGGAATTACTATTCTTAGATCAGGGGGCTGGCTATGGGTCAACGACTAGCCCCAGCCCTTGCGATTTGCTTTATGAGTAAGATAGAGGAGCCAGTACTTGCACGCTTGCCCATAATGTACTGTCGATACATCGACGACTGCTGCGTAATAACATCGACTCAGTCCGAAATGGACGAATGTTTCGCACGTTCGAACCAGCAGTCACAGTACCTTAGGTTTACCAGGGACCCGGCCAGTGGGTGGCTTCCGTTCCTGAACACCCAGGTAAACTTATCTGGTGGCACAATTCGAATGAAATGGTACAGGAAAGAAAGCTCAAAGAATATTATAATACGTGCAAAGTCAGCGCATCCTACAACGACGAAACGTGCAATTCTTAAGAACATGTACAGAACGGCTGTAGAAGTTTGCACTGGTGAAGAAGAGCAGCTCGAATCCACTAGATTGGCTACAACGATTGCGCGCAACAACGACTACACAGATCCGCATATTGGTAGACGTCCACGATTTAGTGGTAGTCAAACTGCACGTAACGACAAGAGAGCCCCACTTTGCATACCTTTCATCTCCGATGAAATGAGTGCAGCGATAAAGCAGTGCATTACTCGAGCATAAGTGCAAAATGAGGTTGCACTCGTAAACTTCTAGAACGAAAGCATCAGGAATCAGTTAGTGCGAAACATATCATAGTCATATGATACAGAATGCGTATCAGAGCAATCATTGTTTGTCCATACAGAAAATTAGGAGATTGCGCGAAGTCAGGGGTCGTATACTAACCAGTGTGTTCAAGTTGCGGAGCGTCTTATATAGGTGAGACGGGCAGAGCATTGAATATCAGGGTCAAAGAGCACTTAGCAAACAAAAGACGAGGGAAATTGGTATCATCGTTGGGAAAGCATAGATTTGAGGCACATGACAGAACTGAGTTTGAGGTCAAATGTTTTATCTTGGCGTACGAGACAAAAAATTTCTGCGCGAAAGATACTGAAAGTTTTGTAATCTCTTTAAAGAGCCCAAGCATGAGTAACAAGAGTGAATGCCTGTCAATGACGAATGATCTTCTGCCTTTTCTATCACTATGTGAACAGTAGCTGCCTTATATATAGACGTGATACACCGTGACACTCAGTGTCGTCCGTCCGCAACATCTCTGCGGCTATCGTCCGCTGCTTCCTGCGGACCACTAACATCTTCATCACGGTGGATCAACAGTTGCTCCTTTTGCCAGCGTGCCCCTCTATACGTTGTGCATAAGACGAGGTCTAAACTCGATTGGCGGTGTAGATTCACAAGTCAGGACTGCAATCATCTTTGAAACCTCCGAAGAAGACGATCTTGTCGAAACGTTAGGTCAATAGATACTCCACCGTACCAATCTGGACTTGGCAGAACATCTATTTCTTTTACAAATTGCGACATAAGATGCTCATTTTCAGAGAAGAGAGAACCTGGAGTTGACGAACATAATTTCTGTCTTTCAACCTACCGTTTCACTCCAGATTCGATCATGTGCCGGGCATGATTCACGTTCTCCTACCTGCAAGCGGTCTGCTGCAAAAGCCTAAACCTCACCCTACCCGAATAAGCATAGCGTTGAACCACCTGAGTGCAAATCTTTGTAAACTTCTGCATAATCTTCGCCTCGCAAGCATACGTTACCCTGAACAGCTGGTGAACAGATACTGCGATATAAAAGTAAAAGCGATACATACTAGCGTAGAATCTGTCTTTTTCGTTGCCTCGGAATGAACATCTCCACAAAGTTCACGTCCAGCTCTTGAAAATTTTGAAAACCGTTTGTTACCACCAAATGTGGGTATGGTAGGCTCTTACGTGAAAGAGAAGAACTTACTTGCATCTTTCTTCTTTGTAACGCGCATCATCGCGATTCTGAAAACCACTTGGTATGCACTGCAATGCACATCTTGTGCCAATCTGAATCAAGCAAAAACTTGGCGTGAAAACGCGCGCCAGTAACGCCAGCAGTTTACGATTTGCGCGCCGTAAGCGCGTCAGTCGATTTTGTCTGATGCAGATTGAGACAGACCGATTCATTCAAAAACCATGAAGCTTCATGTACAATCTTAACAGCTTTGGTAAAGCTCAACTGACCAGTAACATGTAAAAGTAGGAAATGAAGCTTACAGCTTACATTTTGATCATCTTCACGTGCTGCAACTATCACACTGCTTCATCCCAATACCAAAAGTAAACATAAAAGCGCCCTTAATTTGCACTATTGTCGTTTGCCATTGCTTCAGCTTACAATTCGGTGCTTCTCCAGATCCAGCATGTTTATACGTTAGGTACTGTTAAAAGCTAAATCTAAATTTTCCCAGCGAGGAAATCTGCATACATGATATAGTTCCTCTTATCTAAAGTAAGCAGAGACTTAGCAACTTGTTCGTAGCAACTATAGCAGAAAAGTTTGCAAGCAATCCTTTATAGTAGAAAATCAAAAAGTCTGAACTATTAAAAGCCTGTGATGCTCTCTTTGCTATAGTAATAGTTCCACAAGATTCGTGTAGACTGACTTTCACAGATATATTGGGGACCACGCTATCAGGCTACTGGGTCATTCGACACTGCCTAATTTGATTATGAGGCAAAAAACTGCATCAAAAGTGGCTCTCGGGGTGCTGGTATAGACTGCTTGTTCATCTCTCCCTCGCGTTGCAACACAACTTTTCAGGGTCTTTTTCGATGTTCGATTCTGCAACGATGGCTAGAATAAAGATGCACAGCTTTTCACGCTGCTTTTCCAAGACGCTCCGAATAGTAGGGGAATGCATGTCGCCGAAAGGCCTCACCCCGCGCAGGCAGCTATTACAAATCTCTAGTTTCTGTGATATCTGACATCTAGACCACACATAACAGCGTGGTCTGTCGCAAATGTCGGCGTGGAACCGCCCCTTTCGGCGACATGCAGTCATACGTAGGATAATGGAAGCCTGTTCTCCCCTTACCTGCACTTCGAGCACTTCCTGCACTAGTACACGGTGACTGCCGTCACTTTTGAGCCTTAAAAAAACTTATTGACTGATAAAAAAATGAGCGAAACAAGTGCAAAAGGGATTAATGAAGTATTAGGTTGTCTTAAAAGTTTTGTCGGTTTTTTCAGACTACTATAAGACCATGCACAATAAGAACCCGAATGAGTTTGAACATGCATTCGATGCAGCTTTTCTTTCTCTTTTTTATGGATACATTTTCGTACCAAAATCTTGCATGCCGTTTTTGATAATTGCCAAAATTCTCCAGCCACCAATTTTACCTGCTCAATGTTAGGCTAATTTTTATAAATTTCATTCCAAAGTTTCGGGAAGGATCTAGCATGCATCAAATAGAGCAGTTCTTGGACTACAAGGATATATTTTTAGATTCTCCTAATCTGCTGCTAAAGGCTTCAAAAAATTATTTTTGGAGGTCTCGATTTTTGGCAAATTCATGAAACACGCAACAGCAGAAAATACACGAAAGTTTTTGGAGTTTCTGCGAATTGAAAGATGATTTTTACCAAACATTATTTATGCAATATAACCAAGTTTTATTCGCTTTGAAAAGGCAGCATTTTGGAATTTTTGGTGCTTTTACCTCTTAAATGTAATCAAAAAGCCGCGGTTTTTTTTGATAGATAAATATAACGGACTTGATAAACGCGGCTCATGTAATCTAGAACAAATACAATGTAGCCAAAGGTTCTCTCTACATAACTGTTACTAGCGCTCTTTGAAAATATCAGCAAAAAATTTTAAAATTCAGGAAAAATTTAAGGCGTTACTGCTGAGCTGCTCAAAAACCATGGCGATAACATTGCAAAGACAGGATAGATCAGAGAGCAAGTACAGCTGTAAGAAAGAGAATGAAAATCTGAATCAAAGATACCTAAGTCGTTCATGAATTTGTGTTTTGTGAGTTTCAGTGTGCGAAACGGACAAAACTTTCGGGACAACCTAATATATTCTTATGCTACGTTCAAGAATTCAACCCCACCTATCGCGAGCACCGGAGGACCATCACCCGCCAATACCGCATTACTCCTCAGCATTTCCTACGACTTCGGAGAGCAAAGGTTCTTGATGATCCGATGATTTCAAGAGCTCTAAACCTATAAGTTGTAGTCGCAAATTTGTTTGTAGCATCATTTACTATCTATCCCGGTTACTATTGCTTAAGCTATTCCCAATTAACGCATTACTCAGACAATCGCTGGGGGCAGGCGGGCACCGGAAAAATAGATTGCTGATTGCTCGCACCCCGCTCGCAGATTTTTTGGAAAGCAATCAGGACTTTTCGGAAGACCGCTCGCTGAAGGATTTTTGAGAGACTGCCTGTTGAATTTTTTTCGCTCTTATCTTTTGCAGATATATTACTGAATCTCTGAGGAATCGAGAACTCAGCAAGCGGTCTTCCGAAAAGTCCTGATTGCTTTCCAAAAAATCCGCGAGCGGGGTGCGAGAGATCAGCAATCTATTTTCCGGTGCCCGCCTGCCCCCGGCGATTGTCTGAGTTAAGGACGGTTCTCGATCACCCCTCAGTTCCTTTGCCTCTCCTCGCAAAACAGCGAAACAGTAAAACGTTGAAACGGCACCAACCGCGAATTGATATTCAAGCAATCTCGTGCCAAGACAACGGTTGAGTAGAGTTCAAAAAAACGAGAAACTAGAAAGCATAATCGAGACATGATCCTGTCGCTATGAAGCATAAGTGATAGATGTGTTAAAATAGGTATATTATTGCCTCTAGAGCCTCATCGAAACTCCTATATCAATTTATTAATAGAAAATTAAAAGGATGTTCCCGGTTGCCAGTACTCATGAATTCGACTGGCATTACCTACAGTTCTGATGTCGATAGAGCTAAGGCCTTAGCCGAGTATTTTGCCAGTGTTTTTACTCTAAATGACAGTAGCTTTTCAAATGATGATAGTATTGACCAACTGTCAACCAGTCGACGGCTTGATAATGTTTACTTCTCGCCTTCTGATATTCGAAGTGTTTTGAAGAGATTGAAGCCTTCAATATCAGAACCTCATGATGGTATCCCCCAGATTATCTACAAAGAATGTGCGGACTCGCTTAGCAAACCTTTGGCACATATCTTCAACATTTGTTTGTCTTCTGCTGAAGTGCCCAAGATATGGAAAGAAGCAATAATTACAGCAATTCCAAAGACATCTAATGCAAGGCTAGTCTCGGAATTCCGTCCGATTAGCATACACCTCCCTCTGTCAAGGTTATGGAAAAGATCTCAAGGGATATATCTACCTCTTGGCTAAATAAATTAGGTATTATACCTGAAGAGCAGCATGGTTTTCCACAAGGTGCGAGCACAGTGAGTAACTTAGCCGACAGCATGTTCGACTGGACATTTGCTCTAAACAATAATCAAGCAGTAGATATTATTTTTGTCGATCTCTCGAAAGCTTTTGATAGGGTATGTCATCGGAAACTTGTTATGAAGTTAAGTAGCCTGGGCATATCCGGCAATCTTCTCGCTTGGTTTGAATCTTACTTAAGTGACAGGAGCATGACGGTAAAAGTTGGTCATACCCACTCTGAGAAACACTCTTGTCAGAGTGGAGGGGGTGCACTTTCACCACTACTTTTTTCAATTTACACCATGGATTTACCCTCCTTACTGAAAACCATACCCTCGATACATAGAGCCACGTACTCTGGTAACCTTCATTTTGAAGGCTATGAGGAGACACTACCTTCACCTGGAAAAAGCAGAAGTCATCCGGGGCCTTGCCCTGGATGTTATTATCGTGGTTATATCGGAACGAATGTTAATGAAGCAAATATGGGGAATAATATCTTTGACTTATCTCAGCGAAACCGAGAATTTGCGTTTTTATGGCCTTTTTTAGCTTAAAAAAGGTTATGGGATTTTCGCCAGAATTTAGAACAAAATTTCTTAGTTAATCTCTCGTTTGAACAAAATCGAGTTTCGGAAGTTTAGAAAAGCTATTGGAGTTAAATAAGAACGAGAAACTGCGCTTAAATCTTGCGCAGAGAGTCGCGCACAAAAACGCTGGTCTATCTCATCAATGCGTGACTTTCAAAGCTTGGGACGTTGTCAGTTCTCCTTGTCGTGTCATGGCGATCAGAATGGTATATAATGTTGCGGGGTTTCGTCGAGACCCCACGGAGATCTAAGACCAGAGCCAAATGCCCCGTCGGCTCTGGTCTGTCTCCGCTGCTCGTCTGCGTCTCCGCGCGCTGCGCACTAACTCGCTACCCCAAACGCGGGGCGCGGGGCATTTGGCTCTGGTACCGTTTTCTTCGCTGTTTCGAACCCACTTTTAGCAAGCTATATATCATTTTGAAGCTCTTGATCTCTATTTTTACGCTGACAACGTTCCAAAACCACATTTTTCGATTTGGTCGAGAAATCCGGCAAAAAGCTTGATTTCGAAAATCTCTTGTTTTTCTCCCAGTTTGACTCTTTTCATGCGGTTTTTTCGTGCATTCTATAGATCTTGCTTCTATTCATAATGCAGACAACCACCCAGCTCTTACCTCTTCGACTATGGTGAAATTTTTTGCGAAAATTGTAAAAATTGCGTTTTTCTTTACCTTGTTCTGTTTCAGTGCTTTCGCATCGATTTTTTTCCAGCTTGGGCGATTGTTGCTCAGAACAATAAGCGCAACAATCCAGACAACATCCCAGGAAACAGGAACGTCAATGAGGGGGTAAAAATTCAAAGGACGCATCAAAAATCAAAACCCCGTGTTGCGAATTGCTGGTCCTGAAGCGAAAACTTGCACTTTGAAAAGCCGCCAAATGAAAGATTGCAAGCCTCATTGCAGCGTTTTTGTCCGGTTTTGAGCAGTTTCTTTTGCTTTTTATATTCGTTTTACGTATTCTTTTCTCCTCTGATCTTCTTAAACAACCTTCACTTTTTTATGAGGGCCGATGTTAGAACAACCTTCACTTTTGACGCCCTCTCTCTAGACTATCGAATGTATGCTGAAAACAGCACCTTGCATCAAGGTCAAGATGTTCGCTGACGACATCAAAATCTATGGAATTTATGACCTTTCCAATTATGATGAAGTTCGCCAAGCGCTTGAAATGTCCATTAAATGAATGCTGGATTGGTCAAAAATGTGGGA